GCAAGAAAAGGGTAAATGAGATTCAACATATGGGACAAAATCTGTAGGATTTGTAGAATATATAAATATTTCTATTTGGCCTTCCCCTTGTGTTAGTCTGCTGGGGCTGCCATAACCAAATACCACAGACTGTGCAGCTTAAACAACAGACATTTATTTTCTCACAGCTCCAGAGGCCAGAAGTCCCCAGGTGTCTGCAGGTTGGGTTTCTCCTGAGGCCGTTCTGTGGCCTGCAGATGGCTGGCTTCTCACTGGGTCTTCACATGGTCTTTCCCCTGTCTGGTGGCCCTCTGTGTGTGTCCAAATTTTCTCTTCCTATAAGGACACCAGTCAGACTGAATTGGGGCCCACCCCCATGGAGAAGGAAATGGCAACCCACTCCAGTACTCTCTTGTCTGGAGAATTCCATGAATGGAGGAGCCTGGTGGGCTACAGTCCATGGGATCACAAAGAGTCAAACACGACTAAGTGACTTCACTTTCCAATGGTGGCCTTATTTAAACTCTGTATTTTTTTTAATGTTTATTTATTTATGTATGTATTTTGTTGGCTGTGCCTCATGTCATGTGAGATCCTAGTTCCCTGACCATGCCCCCTGAAGTGGAAGCATGGAGTTTTAACCACTGGACCACCAGGGAAGTCCCTAACTCACCTCTTTAAAGGCCCTATATCCAACCACAGCCACATTCTGAGGTACCCGGGGTTAGGTCTTTAGTACATGAATTTTGGAGGGTCTGTACAATTCAGCCTATAACTGTCCTCTTAAATTACAGGAAGTATTAATAATTAACCATGCTTATCCCTTTGTTTAGGACAAATAATCCTTACCCTTACTGGAGAAGACTCTTAAGAATCCCTTGGATTGCAAGGAGATCAGTCAACCCTAAAGGAAATCAATCTTGAATATTCATTGGAAGGACTGATGTTGAAGCTGAAGCTCCAATATTTCAGCCACCTGCTGTGAAGAGTCAACTCAATGGAAAAGACTCTGATGTTGGGAAAGACTGAAGGAGAAGGGAAAAGACAAAAGACAAAAGGAGAAGGGAAGGGCGGCAGAGCATGATAGTTAGATGGCATCACCGACTCAATGGACATGATTTTGAACAAACTCCGGCAGACAGTGGAGGACAGAGAAGCCTGGAGCACTGCAGTCCATGGGGTTACAAAGAGCTGGGCATGACAGAGCGGCTAAACATTGAACAATCCTTGCACATGAAGAGGATCCATAACTGTGTAACAATGGGAAAGTCCAGTCCAATGTTAAGGGACTGTTAAGAGAGAGGCATCTGTACGTCCCCTGTGGCAGAAACATTAAGTGCACCCAAAATACGCATATTGCTGTGAAAGTGCTGCACTCAAGATGCCAGCAAATTTGGAAAACTCTGCAGGGGACACAGGACTGGAAAAGGTCAGTTTTCATTCCAATCCCCAAGAAGGGCAATGCCGAAGACAGTTCAAACTACCGCACAATTGCATTCATTTCACATGCTGGCAAAGTAATGCTCAAAATTACCATATACTCCCTCCTCACATTTCTCCACATCCTGCTCAAAGGAAGGCCCAGAGGACTAGTTCCGGCCTTTATGGAGCTCTTAGGGCCAGTGGAAGCTCTCCAGCTCGCCCTTACTTGGCCATTTTGTTACTGTCTGACTCTTCATGAGCCCGTGGACTGCAGCATATCAAGCTTCCCTGTCTCAGGAAGCTTCTTGGCTACAGCAGCCAGAGCAGCTTCATTCTGAATGGACAGAACTGCAGGCTGGAAGCAACCTGGATCCCTGAGCTAACAAGTGGGAGAGAGCTGCTCTGTCAGCCGAACTGCACAAACATTGCGTAAGTAAGAAATAAAGCTTTATTGTGCAAATCACAGAGATCTGGAGCTCAGTCTATCACAGCAAAACCTGATCTATCGAACACACTGGTGGTCAGAAGAGAGCTGAATGCTGGGAAAGGGTCACAAAAGACACGTCCATCTCAGACCTGCCGTGAACTCACTACCTAATCTTGCACGGGAAGCCTTATTCCTAACACATGCTTGCACTCTGCCCTTGGTTAGCTGGCTATGGTAACAAAGCCTAGAAAGAATACAGTTTGTTATTCCTGAGGGTTTATATATACAATATCAGTCAAAGACTTTTCTTTCAAAATAGCTATTAGGCTGGGACTTTCCTAGAGGTCCAGTGGTTAAGAATCTGCCATCCAATGCAGGGGACATGGGCTTGATCTCTGGTTGGGGAACCAAGATCACACATTGTTGTTTAGTTGCTCAGTCATGTCCATTGCTTTTGTGACCCCAGAAACAGTAGCCCGCCAGGCTCCTCCATCCACAGGATACCCCAGGCAACAATACCGGAATGGGTAGCCATTTCCTTTCTCCAGGGCATCTTTCTGACTCAGGAGCAAACTGCATCTCCTACATTGCAGGCAGATTCCTTACCCCTGAGCCACCGGGGAAGTCCACATGCCGTGGGACAGCGAAGCCCACGGTCGCAACTACCAAGCCCCTGCGCCACAATCAGAGAGCCCACAGCAAAGATCCCACATGCAACAAAGACCTGATGCAGCCAAAAATAAATATTAGGGGAAAAAATAGCTTTGGGCCATCTCCTGAGCAAGGAATATGTTGTGTAACTAGCTCAGGCCCTTAAATCAGAGCCATTTATTTATTTCATCTGTAAATAATGCATCTCCCTGGCATTGTCCACTCTGTGATGTGGTCATTGGTTAGTCCCTGAGCTTCCAGTACATCAGTCTGTTCCACACACTCAGAGCTGCCCCCCCCAAAGGCCTCCTTATGTGCACCCCAGCTCAAAGGCAGATATACATGTGGAAGGAAATTGCAAAGGCTACGATGTTCCCCACTCTTTACCACCCCCAGACCTTGGTGCCTCAGACATCAGCTCTGAGAGATAGTGTTCTGAAAAGAGGTCCGCAGAAAAGAAGAACAAATATAGACCCACATTTGTCTTTGGAACCAGATGTCTGAAGCGCTCCCTTGACAGAAAAAAAAAACTGCCACAAATAATACACTCATTTACTACTCAGGAAATATGCTCCTTTCATTCAAAAGTGATGACATGAAATTGAACCAGCTCCCAGTCCTGCTCTGAATTATTCTAACTGTGCCTGTAGCACAGAGAGCGTCTTATAGAGAAAACAAATGCATATTCGAGAGGCTTCCAGACACCCCCCTAAAGATATCAGTCTTGCATTCTTTCTGGATTGGTCTCATTTTATGACACGGCTATACAGCAACTATTTTATTGACTTAATCTAGTAAAACCCAGCAGCCTTTTAACAGCTAACGTAGATAAGGAGGAGATCCGGGGTGGCTGCTTACTTGGGAGATCTGTTGAGAAAGAAACAGTCTTTGCCCTGGTTTAAGAGTTGATGGTAGATGGCGGAAAAGCAGTGATGCTCAATCTCAACAAGCCATATGATTTTGAGAATGGCTTAACACTGCGAAGACCTGGCCCACACAGACACCTCAAAGATGCGTGCTATAAGGACAGCTCAATCTGCAGTTGACTGTCCCCTCTGCCCACGGTGGCCAAGCTCTCTGATTTCTCTGTGTTCATGAAGGTAGAGGCCATGTCCCCCGAAATCCCTCTGGGACCAGCTCACTCAGGACCCTGGAGTCCCTAAACCATTCGGGCTCCCAGTTCTCTCTTCTTCAAAAAAGCTGGGGCTCCACCCCATGGGACTCTGCTCAATGTTATGTGGCAGCCTGGATGGGAGGGGAGTTTGGGAGAGAATGGATCCATGTCTATGTCCGGCTGAGTCCCTTCACTGCTCACCTGAAACTATCACAACACGGTCAATCAGCTATACTCCAATACAAAATAAAAAGTTCAAAAGAAAAAAAAAAAAGCTGAGTTGCACCCAATAATCTCAAGTCCCTTTCTGTTCTAAAATGCCCTGATTCTGGAAACAAAGAAGGATTTATCACTGTCATGCTCGATGCTTTGCACCCCCATGAACTGGAGCCCTCCAGGCTCCTCTGTCCACGGGCTTCTCCAGACAAGAATACTGGAGTGGGTTGCTATCATCATCAATACTAGCTACACCTTCTGGTCCCCCCACCCCCACCCCGTGAAACTTGAGAGAGAGCCTCGTGAAGCGGAAACCATGGGCCTCCCGCTTTCTACCATGCTATACTGCACAGGAAGGCCACACAGCCCAGGGGACGCAGGGCTTAAGCAAGTCCATCAACATGAAAAATGTTTTGTGAACAGTTATAAAGGAAGTCAGAACTGGGCCAATGCAAACACCCCATCTGGACTCCCCCTCCATTCTACTCATCACTTCAATTCCCCCTCACCCTCACCAAGTCCTGAAACAAGGACCAGAATCTAGAGGGGACGTTCACAGATGTCATTCTTCATGCGTTATTTTCAGAGCCTTAAGCTAGTCTGTGTCTTGCTTAAGCAGACACTGAAATGGGCTTAAGCATGTGAAGATTTTATGAGGGCAGATGCCTTTGAGAAGATGGGGAGGGAGGCTGGGGAAAGTCAGGAATTCCGGGGCTTCCTTGGTGGCTCGGGACAGTGAAAAATCTGCCTGCAATGCAGGACAAGGTTCAGTCCCTGGGTCGGGAAGATTCCCTGGAGAAGGGAATGGCAACCCTCTCCAGCATTCTTGCTTGGGATATTCCACGCACAGAGGAGCCTGGTGGGCTACAGTCTATGGGGTCACAAAGAGTCAGACACGACTGAGTGACTAACACTTTTACACCCTCACAAGGAAAAACCTGAACTCTTCCCCTCCAAAAAAAAATAGTTGATTCACCTTGAACAGCCATTTGCAGTACATCAGGCAGACAGAAGTCTGCAGGCACCCGTGTAGCAATGAGGCAAAGCCGAAAATGCCCTGAATGCCCGCACCGCAGTCCCCTCTTGTATTCTGTCTGTTGCCGGGCCAAGAACCTTACTTAGAAGCCAACACCCCTCTTTTCAAACACACTCTTAGTTTTCAGACGTACCAGTCAATAAACGAAGCAGTCATAGTGAGGGAAAAGTGTATTTCACAGTCGTTATAAAAGTACATATATTTCATAAAGGTGACATAAATACAGTCCTTACTTATGACCAAACCGTACAACCAAAGCCACCCTGGCTTCCGGATACCACACGATGAAAGTCGTCACTTCCGGCAGTAACCGCACACAGGCTGGCCAAGCTCACGGGTGCAGACTAACAAGAGACAGCCATGGGTCCAAGAGACAAAACACGCTCTGTACTTACCAAAGGGATACTCAAGGTCTCCATATAAATATAATAAAATAATAAAGAACTCAACATTTCTCCTCTCACTCAATCCCATAGATTTGTCAGCTCCTCACACACGCAAAACACGGGTTCTCCCCTTCCTCACTGGCCCCCTCACCTCTCACTGGGCTTGGAATAAACCTGAGTTCACAGTTCAAGCTGCCAGTGGTGATACAGACAGTCAGCTGTCTGGAAGCGTGCCAGGATCGGAGAACACGCCCCAGCAGGCAAACACAGCGACGCAGAAACGCTCATGGTCTCGAGGCCGGTAGAACACACGAGAGAGACATAAGAGCTTAGACCAAGTTCGCGGGCAAGCAGCCTGCAAGCCTGCGGAGCCACACTTGCAGCTGGAAACCATCTTCAAAGAGGCTTCTTCACCGATCAAACACTCAGCACTCCGTGTCAAATGGAGAGAGGGACTTCTCAGCTGCTGCTTTTCTTCCCTCTGCTTAAAAAATTAAAAAAGCTCTATTTTTCAATGGAAAGTTCCAGAACCTGGTCTGGAGCCATCCAAATGGGTGCCAACCACAGTGGGGAGTCTGACCTCCTCCCAACAAGCCCCAGGGCTAGGTTGATCCCCAACAAGGCGAGGGGAGCAGCCGCCCCGGGTCTCGTCAAGATCAGCCAAGGCTGGGCACGGCCAGGTGTCCCCCCCTTTTCGCTCACTCAGGGACACCTGGGGCAGGAGGTGGTCACCAGTGCGGAACGAGAAGAAAGGAAGACCCACCCTCACCGCTCTCTGGCACAGGCTGGCTGCTGGCGGAAGTGAAGGCGGGCTTTGCAAGGCTCCAGGGTCATGGACTTCTTTCGGATCAGTGGGCTGCGAGGACTAGCCCTGAGGTGGCCCCAGCAGCGGTTTCTGGTCACACCCGCACCAGCCAGCAGTTGAAGACGCCAAGCCACAGTGGAACCTGTCTGTGAGCTGACCTGCATCCAACCTGTGCCGATTCTTCTTTTGCCAATTCTGTTCATGGCCGAGTGGTCCCCACCAAGGGCCAGGGCCCCGGCCCCAGTGGAGACAGCTCCTGGCAGGCTCCAAACTAGACACAGTCAGACAACAGTGGGGTCCACAAAACACATACACAGGGACGGCACGGACACAGACCCAGAGGTGCATCTTTGGTTCCATCCTTGGCAAAAGGTGTGAAAACCGACCACAGATTCAAAGCCTTGTTTGAGGAACACTGCTTTCCTCAAAGAAGATACAGTACTGTATTTTGAACGTGAGTCCCTCCACACGAGCCTTTCACTGCTCACAGCAAACTGGCTGAGCTCTAACCCACACTTGTTTCCTTAGCAGCTTGAACACTGCAATGCACAGAGCTAATGGTGCCTTCCGGGCACGTCCATATTCAACCTTACCTGTCTTCTCTTTCTAAATAACTGACTGTAACTATGCTCTGCACCTTCCAGAAGGATCTGGGCTCTGTTGATCTGATGGGAAGGACAGGTGGCCAGCTAGGATCACGTCCCCTCCTGCAGGCCACCACGGGCCAGCGCCACTAAAAATATTGCCTGGGCAAGCCTTGATGGGCTCCATGCTCATCCTCTTGTGAGAACAGGAGTTTAGTGAAATCACTTCCCATCTCACCACCCAGGTTTCTAAAAATCATGTTGACTCGATTTAACGACATCACATAAAGAACAATCACCTTTGGAGAAGATACTAATAATTCAACTGTTAGCAAGTTTCAACCAAGTGAAAAAAAATTCCATCAAGACCCGGCTTGGCAAATGAGTGTCCCACACTGGTCCTTTCCATTCACTGGGGACCCCACTGTGGGGATCAGTCTTGGACCCGATCGGAGTGGGTGATGCTGGTTTCTAAGCTTCCTGCCCATCTTCCCCAGGGCTTCCTGAAGCTGGGTTCTCTGGGTGACCAGCTCTTGCCACCCTGCAGGGAGTTCCCTCTATCACAGCAGGGGAAACTGTGGCCTGGGCGAACCACGCTGTGCCTCCATTGCCATGTGAGTGCTGATATGAGACCAATCCACTAAGGCACACACAGCACAGTGGAGAAACAGCTCAGAAGGGCGTATCGTCTGGGCAGGCCGGCCAGTGCAGGGTTCTCCCTGCAGCCCGGCTGAGGGAGGGGGGTGGAGGGCCAGTGAGCAGGCGGGAGGAAGGAGGCCATGGTTGACGGAGTTGGCCGCACGGACAGCCAACCCTCCTGGGAGTCTCCAGTGGGGACCCTACATGAGACCGGGCCGTACAGGCTCTGGGTCTGTGGGCTTCAGCTGTAGGGACAGTGAGTGTCAGGAGGAGGTGAGGCTGTGAAGCGTGCTCCAGGAGAGGCGTGAGAGTCTCCGCACCCTGGCGGATTTGCACTGCTTTTCTTAGAAACGCCCGGATCCCCTTTGCCGGCACAGGTTAGCACTGGCCTTTGACCCCATCAGCCAAGTCAAAGGAGAGGCTTGTGGGGGCCAGGGGCTGCAGCGGGGGCACGCTGGCCTCCAGGGGCCTGTCTGCAGGGGGCTGCAGGCTCTGATGCCGTTTCCTCAGCATCTGTCCAATGCCCATCATGGGGAACCTGCCTCGGCTCTTGACACAGTTGGGGCTCCCCAGGGGTTGCACAGGGCCGTTACCGGGCCCCGGGGCTGGGGAGCACATGCCCTCCTCTTTGGGTGGGCTGTTCTTATCTTCATGAGCAAAGGAGACCAGAGTGGGGTGCAAAGGAGTTTGGAGAGGCGACGGGCTTCCGGGCAGCAGGATGGGCGAGAGTGTCCGCTCACAGCGAGCCAGACCCCCAGGGGAGTTCAGAATCCTGTAGTGATGGGACGGGGAGAGCAGGTCCGTCTGGCCGTCGCGATCCACGGACTCGAAGGAGCGCACCATATCCAGCAGCAGGGGGTCTTCCTTGACGGGGAGGCTGGTGCTCCCAGGCCCCTGCTGAGGGGGCTCTGGTTTCTTCACGATCCTGGGGGTCCTGGGGGGTGGCACGGGGATGAACTCCATGGAGGAGGAGGCCACACAATTGGAGTCCGAGGTTTTGCGAAAAATATTGCGGCAGCCAAAGGAATCTGCACATCAAGAAAGAAAAGGAAAGATGAAGACGGCCACAGAGTCAGCGCCCACAGCCCTGTTCCCATGCACTCGGACCTCCAGTTTCACCGAGATGGGGTGGGAGGTGCCTGGGGAGGTCAGATGGGACCAAGGAGCTCATGCCTTCCCACTCTCCCCATGGGGAACTGGACGGTCTTCCTGGAGTGGAGGGGACAGAAGGCTGGTGACAGGAGGCCTCCTGGGTTCTGACTTGCCTCATGGCACCAGCTTAACTTCTGCTCTCCTTTCAGTTGCTTAAAACTCTGGACCCCACCCAAGAGCCTCTGAATGAAAAGGTCTGCGGCTTAACAGGATGACCACAAAGCTGCAGGAAGCATGTGGATCCCAACTCACTGAGGACTTGCAAGTTTGGTCCTCAGATAATCAAAACCAGAAGGAAGGTTTTTTCGTAACTTAAAAAAAAAAATTATGGTAAAAATTACATAACATAAATTTTAAACTGTTTATGTATTTATTACTTAACCTCTTTTAAGTGTACAGTGCAGTTAAGGACATTCACACGGCTGTGAAATAGAACTCTTCACTTGCAGATCTGCTAGTGGTTGTCAGGGTCAACTGGTCTATACATCTGACTACTCTAGCTCCCTCATGTAAGGTGGAATCTACAGTATTTGTCCTTTCATAACTGGCTTGTTTCACTGAGTACAGTGTTCTCCAGGTTCCTCTGTGCTGGAGCATGGGTCAGAACTTCCTTCCTTTTTAAAACTTTTATTTATTCATTACTTTCGGCTGTGCCGAGGCTTCACTGCTGTGCGGGGCCTGCTCTCTAGGTGCGGTGTGCAGGCTTCTCATCTTGGTGGCCTCCCCTGGTGCAGAGGATGGGCTCCAGTGTGTGTGGACTTCAGCAGCGGCAGCTCAAGGGCTCTAGCGCACAGGTTCAACAGTTGTGGTGCATGGGCTAACTTGCTCCTCGGCATGTGGGATCTTTCCAGATCAGGGATCAAACCTGTGGCCCCCGCATTAGCAGGCAGGTTCTTTACCACTGAGCTACCAGGGAAGCCCCAGAATTTCCTTCCTTTTAAAGACTCTCTCATGACTTCTGATCTCCCCGGAGCCTCACCCAATCCTGAACAGGGGTGAAATACTCTTCATCTATATATTTCAGGCAACCAGCCAACTCCCGTGGCTTCCATCTCAAGCTGGCACAGGATAGAATCCAGGTTTGCAGCCTTTGGCAGAGAAGGAAGGGAAAACCCCCGGCATTTGGCGCTGAAGGAAGTGAAGCCAGGTTCACAGGGATCAGGTCCTGACTTGGTTGCTTCTCCCAACATCACACCTGACAGCCCTGTTGGAGTCCGGAGGCAGGAACGAGCGGTTGCCACTGGGAGCGATTTCGGCGACAGCCAAGGGCACTGGGAATCCTCTTCCCCTTACATAAATATATACACAGATTCCCCAAATAAATCTCCTCCTGGGGCCAGCACAGATGCCTGAGATTCATGGGCAGAGAAGGGAAATTTCACTGACGGCTAACGTCTCCATCGTTCCTTCCCTGGGATGGCTGTGTGCCCCAATCTTGTAGCCCAGCTTCTCCCTCCTCCCCCTTCTGCTTCCTCTGTTTGCCTAGAGGTGTAAATCCTGGCAGGATCCCTCCCACAGGCACCCTCCTTACCCCACCCCAGAGTCAACCCCGGGACAGAGACCTGAACCCTGCATGGTCCCCAGCGAGAAGGGCAGAGTCACCCCCGAGTCCTGAGCATGTGAGCTGGCTCCTCCTCACCCCGTTCTTCCCGGGAGGGAGTCAGCTACCCTGGTCAGCAGAGAGAGCTCTAGAGCCAGGCTGCTGGGCTGGAAATCTGGACTCCATCACTTACCAGCTCCCTGACTTTGGACAACTCTGTGCTGCTTCCTCACCTCTAGGAATGGGGATGAGAATGATCTCACCGGCTGAGGTAAGAGCTGAAGCAGTGCCCGCCACACCATGAGTGGTCAGTGTGAACAGTTAACACAGGCGCCTCAGCGCTTCTCGGCAACAGACTCCCAAGTCCCAGCACAAAGGCAAAACGCAGAGAACAGACGACAGTTGACCCAGGAAAGTACCAAAGAACAGACTCAACCTCTGCAGCTACATAAGTGAGTGAAGCTGCTCAGTCGTGTCCGACTCTTTGCGACCCCATGGACTGTAGCCCCCCGGCTCCTCTGTCCATGGAATTTTCCAGGCAAGAGTACTGGAGTAGGTTGCCATTTCCTTCTCCAGCGGATCTTCCTGACCTAGGGATCAAACCTGGGTCTCCCACATTGCAGGCAGATGCTATAGCATCTGAGCCACCAGGGAAGCCCGCTACAAAGTTAACCCCAAATATGCAGCTACTACCTAGACCTTCCTTCGGGGAACCCATAGGATGCCGTTGTTGAGGGCCTGGAGTCACTGCTGGTTCCAAAGCCAGAAAGGAAGGTCTCCCGAGGAGGGACAAGCGCAGTGTCTGCAGTGGGGCCCCTGCCTTCCTGACGCCTGCAGAATGAAATGGAACCAAGTAGATCTGCTCTTCCCTGGGTGACAGCTGGTCCCTCTTAAGAGTCAGAAAGACCCATGCTACTGTTTTGAATGTCCCCAGCACTTTGCCAACAAAGGTCCACCTAGTCAAGGCTATGGTTTTTCCAGTTTCATGTTTGGATGTGAGAGTTGTACTATAAAGAAAGCTGAGCACCAAAGAATTGATGCTTTTGAACTGTGATGCTGGAGAAGACTCTTGAGAGTCCCTTGAACTACAGGGAGATCAAATCAGTCAATCCTAAAGGAAGTCAACCCTGAATATTCATTGGAAGAATTGATGCTGAAACTGAAGCTCCAATGCTCTGGCCACCTGATGTGATGAACTGAGTCACTGGAAAAGACCCTGCTGCTGGGCAAGATTGAAGGCAGGAGGAGAAGAGGATGATAGAGGATGAGATGGTTGGATGGCATCGCTGACCCAGTTGGCAGGAGTTTGAGTAAACTCCGGGAGATGGTGAAGGACAGGGAAGTCTGACGTGCTGCGGTCCATGGGGTCGCAGAGTCAGAGATGATATTGTGACTGGACAACAACAAACTACTTTCCTGCTGGTTAATGTCAGACAGCCAGAGCCCTCCTGGAACCTTAGTTTCTTCATATTTAAAGCAAAGGGATTGAAGGCTGGACGCCACCACCTCTGCCATCCCCTCTGTAAGGAGCATGTGCCTCTACTCCACAGGTGGCTTCAGGACACCCACTCCCGGCTCCCTGTGTCCCCTCCAGGCCCTCAGGGTGTGTTAAGTCTCCTTCCCGTATCCCTGGATGCCTGCTCCAGAGGAGGGAGACCCATATCCATCAGTTACCTCATGTGCTAGATGATGAATGAGGGAAAGCCCACACGTGTTTCTCATTGAAGTGAAAAGTGAAAAAGTGTAAATCACTCAGTCGTGTCCAACTCTTTGCGACCCCATGGACTGTAGCCCGCCAGGCTCTTCTGCCCATGGAATTCTCTAGGCAAGAATACTGGAGTGGGTTGCCAGTTCCTCCTCCAGGGGATCTTCCTGATGTAGGGATCAAACCCGGATCTCTTGCATTGGCAGGCCAATTCTTTACCATCTGAGCTATCAGGGGAGCCCTTATCTCACTGGATCCACCCAATAGCTCTGACAGATAGGTTTCCTTTCACAGGGAAGGGAATCAGTAAAGATCCTCAGAGGGTGAGGAACTTGGGCCACCACCAGCCTCAGAGCTGAGTTTAAGCATCTTGCCTCCACCCAGAGCCCAGATCCTGTGGATCACATGTCACTGCCTCTCAGGGTGGACTTTTGGGGGAGGCTTTCACGAGAGCACACCCCATCCCTGCTCCTGAACCCTGATCTCTGCCCCCGAAACTGAACACTGATGCCTGGTTCCATGATACTATGCACCCCAATCTCAGCCACCTCAATAAAATACCAAGCACCCCAGTTTCTACTCCCACAATGCCACGCACCCTGGAATCTGCTCTCCCACAAAACCATGCACCCCAATCTCTGTTCCCATAGTACCATCCACCTTGATGTCTGTTTCTCTGACATCTGCAAAATCATCCCTCCCAATCTCTGCTCCTGTACCCCATCTCTACCCCTACACCCCCATCTGTTCCTGCATCCCATCTATATTCCTGCACCCCATTTCTGCTCCTGCACCCCAATCTTAGCTTCCGCACCCCATCTCTGCTCCTGCACCCCAGTCTCTACTCCTGCAATACTTTACGCCCTGATTTCTATACCTGCCCCATCTCTGGTTTCGCAAATCCCGCCCACACAGGTGGACCACACCAAGCAGTCAGGACCTTTTTTGTTCTCACGTTGCCTCTCAAGCATTAATTCTGCTTTCCCGTGGCACAGGAGTCGTGTCTGTCCCAGGGGCCCACACAGACACCAGCATGGGATACACAGCAGCCACGCGGTTGAGCATGAGGCCCGGAGAGTCCCCCACGCTGACCCACCTTTGTCGGGGAAGCCAGGCTTGGAGGCCTTACGGTCCTTGAGCAGGGCCCTGGTGCTCTGAATCTGCGTGATGAGCGAGGCCGACGGCTGTTTGTGCGACGGCAGGTTCTTGTCCAGCTTCTTGGAAAACGGTCGATGAAGAAAATCTCCTCTTTTTTCTTGTTCTTTGGGCTTTTTATCCTTCCAATGAGAAGTGAACATGGGTATTCAGAGGCACACAAGAATGCACAGCAGGACCCCCTCTGAAGAGCTATCACAGTGGAATTAAGGAGCCTCGGTTTCCTAAAGTGTCAGGCTCCCAGCTGTGTGGTGAACAAGGGAAGCGCCCAGACCCAGAGGACGCCCCGGGAAGCCACGGCCTGCTCCCTGGGCCACAGTGGGCTTCGTGGTCCACAGCTTCCTGCACTGTGCTGTTCTGACATGTTCCAACAAGGGTAAGGATATCCCTGGGTGGTCCATTTTCCTAGAACAAGCTGAACAAACCGAGGTAAAGCCTATGAGGACTCCTGATAACCTCCCATCTCAGCTACAGCCGATTCCTGAGATTCTGCCCAAGTAGCGGATTTGCAGAGGCAAAAAGTGCTCCATCATAACCTCAGTGTTTATGTGTTCAGTGAAGCCAAGGAGGTGGACAACCAACCCGTGGAGCCCTGAGCCTGCCTGGCTTAATTTCTGACCCGCCTTCCTCTGCTCACGTGGGCTCTCCTTCTTGTTTAGTCACTAAGTCGTGTTTCTCTCACGTGCTCAGTCACTCTGTTGTGTCTGACTCTTTGCGACCCTATGGATTGTAGCCCGCCAGGCTGCTCTGGCCGTGGAATTTTCCAGGCAGGAATACAGAAGTGGGTTGCCATTTCCTCACCCAGGGGATCTTCCTGACCCAGGAATCGAACCCGTGTCTCCTGCACCACAGGCAGATTCTTTACCACCGAGATACCTGGGAAGCTCACGCGGGCTCTTACGTACTTAAATTGGCACAAATCAGCCATTTGTGCTGTCAAGTATTGCCCTGATTGAACTCAATTATAATCCCTCTGATGGGAGTGAATTTGACTGTTTTATACATCTTCAACCCCACAGCCTCTGGCATGAAGCCAGGCATGGAGAGAAAGCTTATTAGTTACTGAAATATTAAAAAAAAAAACAAAAACAAAAAAGCCAGTGGAAACGGAACTGAATTAAAATTGATTGGGTTCAAGCTTCTGGGAAGGGTGATGCCACAAGGAAGCAGCTTTTTTCTGGCCCTAAAGACTGAGTTTGATGTTTATTGTTAAACAGAGACAACTGAATCCCTGACCTCACCAGGAGTGGGGTGTGGGGTAGGGAGAGACCAATTTTCACATTTTTTGCCTTAAACCTTACGAACATTTGCAATTCAAGAGAGCTCATCTATTTTTCATGGATGCTGTTGAAAAGCTTCTCAAGAAAACATCCCCTTCCACTTGGGTAGCCCTTTCTAACAAGGATTTTCAAAGTCTTTCTGGATTGGGGTTCATTATGTCCAGGTTTTGAGTGGGAAAGATGGCAGGAAAGAAACGGGAAGTAGGGGGCACCCATCCCAGTCTTGAGTGTCGCCTCAGGACAGCAGCTGCTGGGAGCCCAGAGCTTGGCTGAGGTGGCTCGTCCCCATGGACGGATGAGGCAGGAAGAAAGCAGAGGTGAAGCTTCTGCAAACACCTTCCCCAACATCTATCAGCCACCACCACCTTTGCTGAGGATGCTTGGAACGCCAGACACTATGCTAAGAGCATGACCCATGATGAGGCAAATCCTGCTATCCCCTCTTCCAGAGATGCCTGCAGTAGCTAAATATACCCAGATAATTCAAAAAGATACACGCACCCCTATGTTCACAACAGCCTAGACCTGGAAACAATGTAAACGTCTGCCACAGATGAATGGATCAAGAAGATGTGGTCACACAGGTACAATGGAACGCTACACAGCTGTGAAAAGAGAACACCATTCGCAGCAACACAGATGCAGCCAGTGATTATCAAGCTAAGCGAAGCAAGTCAGAAAGAGAAAGACAAGTACCACAGGATATCACTCATATGTGCAACCCAGAACAGGGCACACATGAACCTATCTGTGAAACAGAAAGAGACTCACAGAGAACAGACTGGAGGTCACCAAGGGGAGGGGGGCGGGGAGGGATGCAGTGGGGTTTGGGGATCGGTAGATGCAAACTGTTAGGTTTAGAATGGATGAACAACAAGGTCCTACCACTGAGCACAGGGAACTATATTCAATATCCTGTGATAAACCACAAGGGAGAAGAATAGTCAGTAACAGGGATGTGTACACACGTATAACTGAGTCACTTGGCCGCACAGCAGAGACGGGCACAACACTGTAAATCAACTATACTTCCATTTTTTAAAAAAGAATTCACCCGGAAGCCTGACAGCAACTCAGATTTTTGCAGCCTTCCCTGAAAGTCAGTGTGTTCTTTCTTTTTTTTTTTAGTCAGTGTGTTCTTAACCCTTGACTCCACACTGCCCTCTGGAAGCTGGGGCAGGGCCAGGCTTGTTCTGGTGGCACAGAGAAAGGCAGGGACCGCACTGTAGTCCAGGGCATCCAGGATGCTACAGATGAGACCACGAGCAAGATGCTATAAAGGGCAGGGCGGAGGGGGGCATCCGCTCCACACCAAAGCCAAGCACAGTTCTCCACCGCCTCCATTTCCCCCTTTCTATCAAACACCAACAGGCCCTCTGCTCCGCAGCAAAGAAGAGTGAGCTTTCACCATCTCCAACCTCTCCCCAGGCAACAAACAGCCTGTCCCTGGCTCCATTCTTTCTATGTTTTTATGAGCAAACTCATCAGTTCTATCTGATAACACCTTAAACAGGAAAAAAGAAATCAGATGCACTTTTGTGATACATTGTAAAACAGTAATTGGAAGAAAAAATAAAACTGGAGTTCGCTCCGCCCCCCTCTCCCCCACCACAACCCCAACACTGCCCCTTGGAAGGGTTTCTTTTAGAAACATGAGTATATCTTCCTTTGGGCTACCCTGCATTTCCTACTCTCAGAGGGCTGCTGCCGGCAGCCTCCTGGGTTCATCTCAGCTCCTTTCTAACACTCTGCAGCTTCTCAAAGATAAAGGATCAAGATGCAAACTTTCAGGGGGGCCAGTATCACCACCCAGACAGAGCTCATGAACCAAAGTGTGTCCAAGGTATGAGAGTTCTCTGTAGGACGAGATCAAGGTTGGCTCTAGAAATTTCTCCTGCAACCCACAAAGGGATCTTTGGGAATGAGCAGAGCTGATTCACTGGACAAGCCCCTGATGCTGGGAAAGATGGAAGGCAGGAGAAGCGGACAACAGAGGATGAGATGGTTGGATAGCACCATCAACTCAATGGATATGAGTCTGAGCAAACTCTGGGAGATGGTGAAGGACAAAGAACTGTGCTACAGTTCATGGGGTCACAAAGAATCAGACACAACTGAGCTACTGAACAATAACAAGAAAGCCCACAATGGGGACAGAAGAAAGAGGACATGGATTTAGGACTAAAGAGTCTGGGGAATCTTGCTCACACCCCCCCTGTCGATCCTGCACCCTGGTGTTGTCGCTCAGTCGCTCAGCTATGTCCAACTCTTTGTGACCCCATGGACGGCAGAAGGCCAGCTTCCGTGTCCTTCAACATCTCCCGGAGCTTGCTCAAACTCATGTCCACTGAGTCGGTCATGCCATCCAACCATCTCCTCTGTCGCCCCTTCTCCTCCTGCCTTCAATCTTTTGCACCATGGTACTTTCTCCAAACTGCCCCCATCCGCTCCCCCCACCCTCAGAGCATTCTTCTCAGCCTGAAAGAACTGATGACTTCATAGTGACTGGTTTCTAGGGAGATGCCAAGAATTTACCACCCATCTGCTCCTTGGGGGTGGGGGACAACACCCTGGATCTGTCCCAGTGGACAGGTCACCAGTCCCCAGGAAACTGACTTGTTTACAAGCAGCCATCTTAACGTCTTCCAAGCAGAGGTTCATAAATGCAACCGATTTTCCAATTCTACCATTTTCATTTGCATGGCCTATTTTCTCCAAAAGAGATTTCCCAGGGAGAAGGATGCTAAATTGCCTTATGTAACAGAAACAGATCTTCGGAAGGACTAATTATGTTCCCCCTTCGACATGCCTGCACCCACTCCCGCACACCCCACCCAGCAACGCTGGCTGCCTGCAGGCCTCTTTGGTTTACCTCTGATTTTCATGGGTGGGCAGTGTGCCCCTCATCCGCATGTGCCTAAAGGCAAGTGGTGGAGCTGAAGCTTCAAGGGTCTTCTCTGCCCCCTCATGCTTCAGGCCATACCCTCCAAGGCAGATCCAAGAGGAAACCAGAGGCCCCAGATGCTAGCAAACCCCACACAAAACAGCCTCTTCTTCTCTTTAAACCATTTTCCAACCACCACACCTGTGCGTGAACATTTTTCAAAAAAAACTGGATGCCCTGAATGTGCAGACCTGGACTTCCCTGGTGGTCCAGTAGTAAAGAATCTGCCTGCCAATGCAGGGGACGTAGGAGATGCAGGTTCGATTCCTGCGTCAGGAAGATCCTAACCTGGAGGAGGATGTGGCAACCCACTCCAGTATTCTTGCCTGGAGAATCCCCACAGACAAAGGGGTTGCAAAGAGTCAGACACACCTTAGCAAATGAGCACAAGCCCAGGCCCATAATGTAAGGGAAAGCCACAGAGGACTGCTTCTGCCATAAGAAACAAACAAATGCATTGAGAATAAAAAGGTCCAGGAACTGGGAAGCCGTGGACTGTTCTAAACCCCACTTCTTTATAGGTAGAAACACAGATGCACAGCCAAGTTTGTTGTTATAGCAAGATGAATTTTTAAAAAGTCAACCATACAGATGGCTCTAGTGATAAAGAACATGCCTGCCAATGCAGGAGACATACATGGGTTTGATCCCTGGGTTGAGAAGATTCCCTGGAAGAGGGCATGGCAACCCACTCCAGTACCTGGAGAATCCCATGAACAGAGAAGCCTGGCGGGCTACAGTTCATAGGGTCAAAGCGCTGGACACGACTGAGTAACGTAGCACACACACAGAAAAAGCTGATCTGATCTGAGGGGATTCTGACAAATCCACTTACAACAGGGTTCTGCATGTCTGAATTCAGGACAGGATGAGGGGTGTGCAGAGTCCGGAGCCCCAGGCAGGGATTCACTAATCTTCAGGGTCACAGGCAATGGAGACTTTCAAGTGTCAAGTTGCCTAGACCAGGGCACCCAGTGTCCGGTCAAACACCAGTCTACAGTTTGTGGTGAAAGGCTTGTGTTAGATGAGAAGGACATTTAAATCGGTAGGCTTTTGAGTAAAGCAGCTTATCCTCCACAGTCTGGGTGGGTCTTGGGCAATCCAGTTGAAGGGCTTAAGAGAAGACTTCATGGTGATGTTTGGTGGAAACCGACATAATAGTGTAAAGCAAATATCCTTCTATTAAAAATAAATTTAATTTTTTTAAAAAGAGAGAGAACACTGAAGTGTCCTGAGAAGGAAGGAATTCTGCCTCCAGAAGCCTTGTGACTGGACCTGAAACATCAACCCTTCCCTGGGGGTCCACGCATCTCTCTCTCACACACACACACACACACACACACACACTGTCGATTCTGTTTTTCTGGAGGACTCTGTCTAATCCATCAGAACCTCCAGTTTCTTACCTGCACAGCATGAAATTCAAGGTCTCTTGTCCAGGTGTCCAGGGAGGCCTGCAAAAAAACAAACAAAACAAAACAGCATTTTTCAACAATTCAAGAAGCTGTACTTGCTGTTTATTCCCTAAACTCTTCCCACTTGCAGCTCTGGTTGAGGATTACCCATTTCAGTGTTTGCAGACAAGAAACCAAACTGTCCCGGAAGGAGGTGGCAGATGTCCTAATTCCTGCCCTGGAGAGATTTTCTAGGTAAGGTTTATATTAAAGTCTAGGACACATGATGGAGGGGTGCTCTGATGATGAGTAAAGCGTTCACTTGGTTTTCTCAATCAACAAAAGCACACATGAAAACAGTGCCCAGATCAAGAAACAGAACCCAGCCAACACCTAGAAGTCCCTCATTGCCACATTCTCTTCCCATCCCTGAAGGTAACCACCGTTCAGATCTGCCACAGCAGAGACTTGATCCCAAACTTGATTGTTAAAATTTGTGCAGGACTTCCCTGGTGGTCCAGTGGATAAGAATCTGCCTGCCAACGCAGAAGACACGGGTTCAATCCTTGATCTGGAAAGATTCCACATGGCTCGGAGCGACGGAACACATGGGCCACAACTACTGAAGTCTGAGAGATCTCAGGCCTGTGAACCGTAGCAACTAGAGCCTGTGCTCCACAGCTAGAAAAGCCACTGCGGTGAGAAGCCCACACACCAAGTGACGAGAAGCCCCTGCTCATCGCAACTAGAGAAAGCCTGGGCATACCCAAAACCCACTGAAGCCAAAAGTAACATAAATTTTAAAAAAATTTTTAAATTTGTACAGATTTGGAAATGACACAAAGAAAATACTATAGTATTTTACCTTTAAACTTATAGTTCCCATTATGCATTTAATTATGATGGCGGTGGTGGTTTAGTTGCTCAGTCATGTCCAACTCTTTGCAATCCCACGGACTGCAGCCTGCCAGGCTCCTCTGTTCATGGAATTTCCCAGACAAGAATACTGGAGTAGGTTGCCATTTCTTCCACCAGGGGATCTTTCCAACCCAGGGATCGAACCCATGTCTTTTGCACTTCCTGCTGGGCAAGTGGGTTCTTTACCACTAAGTCACCTGGGAAGCCCGCATTTCATCACATTCCTCCAAATTCGAATGTTGGAGTCCTGACCCCTAGACCTCAGAACGCAGCTTTACCTGAAGACAGGGTCAGGTCAGCCCGTCCCATCCCCTCTGGAGCCTGGCAGGGGGTACAGGGGGAGTACGAAAGCTCGCTCTCCTTGGCCTTTGAGATGGAACCTCTTCTTGGTCTTACCTTTTCAGAGGTGATCAAGTTAAGATAAGGTCATCAGAGTGGGTTCTAGTGCAGTGTGACCGGAATCCTTATAGAAAGGGGATAACTGGTCACAGACACACATGCAGACTGCGACATGAAGATGAAGGCAGAGATCAGGGTGATGCTCCTACAAGCCCATGAATACTGAAGACTGCTGGCACCCACCAGAAGCTAGGAGGCATGAAAGATTCTCCCTCACCATCCTCAGAGGGAATCAGTCCTGCAGACATCATGACCTTGACCTTCTGGACTCCCAAACCAGGAGACGACACATTTCTTTTGTTTAAGCCAGTGGCCCCCCGGGGCACCGGGAGCTGGTTTCGTGGAAGACCATTTTTCCAGAGACCGGGGTGGGAGATGGTTTGGGGATGATTCAAGTGCATCACCTCTATTGCTCACTTCATTTCTATTATGATTACATCAGCCCCACCTCAGATCATCAGGCATTAGATTCCAGATGAGGGGGACCCCTGGTTTAAGCCACTTGGTTTGTGGGACTTTGTGATGGGAGCCCTCACAGACTCATACAGTCCCTTCGCCACCGTCTGCATGATTTAACTTCCAAAACTGCAGTGTTACTTGGATACCGCAGAAAAGTCCTTGTATTTCGAAGTGACATTTTGCTACATATCAGCATTATTTTTCAAGACCTGGACAACACTGGCTTCCAGTTCTCTGTGGCTTCACTGAGCCAGTTTACTAGTGATGACTTCCCTGCCACAACCCTCCATGGCGTCCCTCCCCCTGCCCCCCTGGAACTCTCTTTTAGGAAAAGGAGTCCCTGGGGCCTTAGCCCAAGGTGAGACAAGGGTCTTCCTTTTGCAGACGTGGTCGCTGCCTGCTACAGGACGAAGACGGGGAGAAAGTGGCAAAGTCATACCGCAATAGCACGAGAATCCTGAGAGGGGAGTGCTTTCTGCTTAATTCAGCTCCTCTGTCTCCTTGGAGAAAAAGAACTGGGATCCAGAAGAAGAAAGAGGCCAACACTTGCCCTCAATGCCCAGACACGGCTCCAGAGCCACCCCCCAGCCCGCGGGCGTACAACCTTGAACCTCACTCCGCTGCACACCACCCATCCCCTCTGCTTCTCCTCCTGGACCAGCTGGGCTGAAACCCACAGAGGCCCGGAGTGGGCTCTCCCTGGAGAATCTGGCCTCTTTCAGTCTTTCTCACCACTTTTTCTAGCTGGCCCCATTCTACTTTGCTAGGTTCCAATGGAGAGGAGCTGGGTCATGTAGCCAGAGCCTGTAATTTAATTAGCTCAAGTATTGCTGCGGTTTGGAGAAAACAAATGGAAACTAGAAAATTGAAATGCTGTTTCCCCATTAGCGTTCCTATTGAAACTCTAACCATTAAATATTGCAACAAATGTTTTAAAATGCTTACCATGTGTTTTCAGGCCAAATGCAATAAGCAGCTGAGAAAAATAATGTAGATGAAAAAAAAAAAAGAGGCCCCTTCCCATCATGGCCCTGACACTTTGGAGCACTCAAGCACTGCTGGGTACCAGGGTGAACAAGGACATGGGCATCGGCCAAGTGGCTTAGAGGCCGTGTAGGATACACACTTACGGGATGTGGCACATCTAAGTTTGCATTATTACCTGAGGCCCTAAAGAGTCAAACCAAGAGGCAGGGGAGCCTAACGGTGACTTCTGTATCCCCTGGACCCCAGCCGGGGTGACCACCCCCAGTGCAAGTGACTGTAAGAGGTCCCTCCCATAGGGCATGGCCATCAAGTGATGGTAATTAGACTTGAATGCTGCCATGCAGGTGGTCACCCTGCTTTATCCAAGCTAGGTGTCCCAGCTGGAATGTTCAACCTTCCCAAGACGCTGACCCAATTCCATTTTCTGAGACTCAGGCCAAGGTCCACTTGATTATTTCACTTCTTCCTCCAGCAAACATTTATTAAGCCTCTACAGGGAGCATGCAGGCTCTAGAGACACTGTGAGGAACAAAAGGGACGCTGTCCCAGGGACCTTCCTGACGGTCCGGGGGTTAAGAGCCCAATGCAGGGGAACTTGGGTCTGACCCCTGGTTGGGGAACTAAGATCCCACGTGCTGCGGGACAAGCCCAAGCACCACAACTAAGACCAAGAGCTGTCAAATAAATAAATAACAGGGACTCCATCCCTCCTCTTAAGGAATTCACAGGCCAGAGTGGGGGAGAGATGAGAATCAAATCATCCCAGAACAAACAGAACCTCATCCAGGGGATCAGCCCCAGGAGGCAGGAGGTGTGTGACAGCCTGCACTGGAGAGATGCAACCTGAAGGTACAGGTCAGAAAATAGCAGGGGTCCATGAGGACACGACCCTGCCGCCACATCTGCAGACAGACAGAGACTGACTCAGCAGAGAAAGCTCAGGAGAACATTCTGGAAGACAGCAGGGTGTGTACAGCCCTGGAAGACAAGAGAGCACAGAAGTCTGAAGGCCCATGGGACTGAGCACGAAGCAAGCAGGCAGGGGATGACCCTGGTGGTCCAGTGGTTAAGACTCTGCACTTTCAATGCAGGGGGGGCACAGGTTCCATCCCTGGTCGGGGAACTAAGATCTCACGTGCCTCAAGGAGTGACCAGATGAAAATTTAAAAAAAAAAAAAAAAAAGGCAAGAAGCAGGGTGATGGGGGTGGGGTAGGGGTAGCTAGAAGATAAGGTCTGAGTTGCTGGCAGAAGCCAGTCCAATCTGGGACACGGTGGCCACGTCACAGTTTGTCTTCCACGGTAAGGAAGCCTTTGACGGTTTCGATTGGGGAAGCGATATGGTCTCATTTGAGTGTGAACAGCTCACCCTGGCCTGTGTGCGGACAGCCTGTATTCATGACTGTACTCATGGGGACAAACAGGGGATAGTTAGGAGGCTGCGGCTGAGGTCCACGCAAGAGGTGATGAACCAGGGCGGGAGGATGGGGCTGGGGAGCTTCAGGAGTCAAGCTGGCAGAACTTGGTGACAGACTGGCTCTCAGGGGTGAGCATGCCGTGTGCATGCTTGGTCACTCGGTCGTGTCCCCATGAACTATGGCCCACCAGGCTCTTCTGTCCATGGATTTTTTTTTTTTTTTTTTTTAGGCAAGAATATTGGAATGGGTGGCCATTTCCTTCTCCAAGGGATTTTTCTCGACACGGGGATCAAACCTGTGTCTCCTGCATTTCAGGCCGATTCTTCACCACTGAGCCACCGGGGAAGCTCTTGGGGGTGAGGGAAAGGAATACAAAGGACCCCGCCTGTCTGAAGGCGAGGCTGCCTTTTGGAGAGAGAGAACAGGCGCAGGGCAGAAGGGCTGCTGCGGGTTGGCTCCTGTATGCTACGCTGGAGACCTGCACTCAGGCAAGAGAAGATCTGGCAAGCAATTGGCTGGAGGGGTCTGGAGCTGGGGCTGTCTGGCCCTTCACCGTCTCTGATCTTCCGCTCGCAACCCAAAAGCCATGCATGTGCTTCCTGCCCAGAACCAACCCACACAATCCACCCCACCAAAGGCTCATCTCCACCCTCACCACACTAGTGCCTCACAGTCTCAGAGGAAGGGGGCCTCCAGTCCGGGGTCAGGGCTAGGTCCCACCTGGCTTGCTCTGAATGCCCGCCCATCCACACCTTCTGCTGCAGTTCCTTCCTCTGTCCCCCCACCCTGACTCCTTCCCAGCCCCGTGCATCCTTCAAGCAGAGGCGGTCATGTCCTCCTATTCATCGCCAGCATCATACATGGAGAGATCTATGCTTACAGTCTTCACTTCCCCCAATCCATGCAATGTCTTCTCTGCCCTTCCACTTCCTCCATGACAAGCAGCTGCTCAGCCATCACCATGGGCCATTTTATACTTGACCTTTCCCACGTCCTCCCCAACATCCTTCCCCCTGGGTCTCCGGCTGCCCCAGGATCTCTGCTCGTTCCTCTGTAATCAGCATCTCCTCTTCTCCGCCTGCTTGAATCGTGCCATTTCCCAGGCTCCATCTAGAGTGATCAGCCTCCCCCTCCCAACCCAGCTGCCTACCCCAACCCCGCCTGGATGCTCGGGGCGGCTGCATTCTCACACGGCAGCTCAGCTCCCCTGTCACCTGTATCACCGCAGTGGTCTGGGCCACACCCCACTTGCTTTCTGCTGCCACAATGAAGCACAGCCCAGCGGGCTCCACATTCTATGGGGAACCCCTGAGCAGGCCAGAGACCCCCACTGGACAGAGCAGTGAATGAGGGATCCCGGCGGGGGGGGGGGGGGGGGNGGGGGGGGGGGGGGGAACCCTCACCCTGTGCGCCAGGCCCTGGATCTGGAGAACCTAGCACGATCTCTTAACAAGCATGGATTTGGGGTCCAAATTTTGGATCATACAATACTAGTCTTTACTCTGAAATCAAAGAATCTTGGTATTTTCTCTCAGGTACGTCCTAGGTAGCATCAGGTCACCAGGGACAGAGGACTGGAAAGGTTCACTCCTGATCCTTTTTCCTGATCCTCACCTTCCTTACTTTCTTCTGATGCCAAGTGTTACATACACATGTCTTTCAGCATCTTGTTTTTATCTTTTGGCAATCTGACAGTGGATTCCAGCTGTGACTCCACTGGGAATCATCCAGTGAGCTTTAAAAAATACTGACCCCCCAGATCTGGGACTTCCCTTGCAGTCCAGTGGTTGGGACTCCATGCTTCCACTGCAGGGAGCATGGGTTCAATTCCTGGTGAGGGAACTAAGATCCCTCACATGCTGCATGGTACAGCAAAAAAAGGAAACATCACCCCCCCCCTCCCGAGTCCTGCCCCCTGAGTTTCAATGGAATCGGTCTGAGGTGTGGCCCAGGCATTCACAAGTTAAAATGCCCCTGGGGATTCTACTATATGCCCACAGCTAAGAACCACAGTCTGGAGACTGGACAATGGTGGCCCCGCTGTAAGCCCATTTCTTACAAAGTGAAAGCATGAGTCGCTTCGGTTGTGTCCAACTCTTTTTGACCCCATGGACTGCAGCCCACCAGGCTCCCCTGTCCGTGGTATTCTCCAGGCAAGAACACTGGAGTGGGTGGCCATTCCCTTCTCCAGGGGATCTTCCCCACCCAGGGACTGAACCCGGGTCTCCAGCATTGCAAGCAGGTTCTTTACCATCTGAGCTACCAGGGAAGCCATTTCTTAAGGGCTCGGTAAAGCGAGTAAGTATTTGTCTTTGGCTACTTCCGTGTCCCACAACAACTGGCTTCCTTTCCAGTCCTCTTCCCATAAAGGAAATCCACTCTTCCTAAGAGGTCCTGGGTTTTGCTCTGGGGAGCCACTCACCTCATACGGCTCCTTGGTGGGCCTGCCCCTGTCTATCTGGTAGAGCTGGGTCTTGTAGCAGACGCTGTCCTGGAAGTCAGATTTCTACCGGAGAAGAAAAGAAAAAAAGCCAGGCTTAACTCTCGGAAAATAGGGAATGTCTATCAAGCAGTCAGTAATTTTTAAACCAGCACTTGCTGAGAAACGACGGAATGCAGTTGGCAGACCCCTCCAGCACAGCCCACAGGAGCGTGGGGGAGGCAGGACCCGGACTCCTGGCTCTGCGGGAAAGGGCTTGGTGGCCCCGGGCACATCACTGCTCCTGCCGCACCTCTCTTCTTTCACCTGTGCGATGAAGACCACGCTAAGAGACCAAATATGTGAGCTGGGGGGGACAACTTATTTTATGGAACTACTGAATGGGATACAGGTCTTGCTGATTTAAAAACAGGCCTAAGAACTTCCCTAGTGGTGCAGTGGATAAGAATCCACCCGCCAATGCAAGGGATGTGGGTTCAATCCCTGGTCCAGGAAGATCTCACAAGCAGTGGAGCAACTAAACCCCTGCAACCACAACTACTAAAGCTCTGCTCTAGAGCCCGTCCTCTGCAACAAGAGAACCACCCCGATGAGAAGGCTGGACACCGGAACTGGAGAGTAGCTACCACTCGCCGCAGCTAGAGCAAAGCTTGTTGCAGAGACACAGACCCAGTGGAACCAGAAACAAATTAACTTATAAAATGAAAACAGCCCTGAAATGCATAAATAACCAGGACCTACTATATAGCACAGGGAACTAGCTATATTTGATGTCTTATAAAAACCTATAATGGAAACTAATCTGAAAAAGAATATATGTATATAACTGGACCAGTTTGCTATGCACATGAAACTAACAGAACACTATGTATCAACCAGACTTCAGTTATAAAAACACAGCCCTGGTTCCTGCCCCCCCCACCCCAATAAAAGTCACAGCAATCCACAATACAGCTTAAAGAAGAAGACACATAACCACACCTCAGATGGTCTAGGGGTATGACTGAGGTGCAGTCCTCTCTGGCGACAGCTGAAATTAAATGACTAATTAATGCATCAGTCAACAAATATCCCCAGAAGGTCTCAGCAGGCTCTCCAAATTAAAATCCATGCATCTAGGTTTTAGAAAGAGGAAACAAGAATCAAGGGAGAAGGGGAGAAATGGCAATTAAGGTATAATTTTTTAGTTCACTAGTTGCCCTTTCAAAATTATATATGGCTGTTAGTAATTGGTTAATGATATTAATAACTGGGACAGTGCCTCGGGTGCAGTTAAATTAGCCTTGCACAGAAATTACTGAGTGGACTAGCTATAGTTACTTACGGGGAAGAACTCACTGTTTAAAGCAGTCACCCACCGAGGCACTGGTTCTCAGACCAGCTATGTCCTGTGATTTAGGGGTTCAGCGTGAAACAGACAACAAAACAAGAACCGTGTCCTGTTAGAACTATGTTAGTTTCCACCAGGAACTTCGCAGTAGTGTGTGCGCGCGCTCAGTTGCTCAGTCACGTCCACTCTTTGCGCCTCCACGGACCGTAGCCCTCCAGGCTCCTCTGTCCATGGGATTTCCCAAGCAAGACCACCGCAGTGGGTTGCCATTTCCTACTCTAGCTTCTCAACAGACAAAACCACAAAGCTTGGCCACACTGCAACATTTGCAGCTCTGATGTGGAGTGATCACTGCAGATGGCAGGACACAGCCTAAGAGCTTCACACAAACGTCTCTTACTTGGGATGAGCCCCGTGATTGTTTAAGAGTGTGAGTAATCGAAGCTGGGGGCTCTACAGAGGTAGACAAAAGAAACTATTTTTTAAAACAAAAGCCCCTCTATCTTATTGATCATATTCAGAGAACTGATTCTGCCGAAAGAAGGATGTTTGAACCTGCTTGCTTACTTAGGAAAGTAGCAGTGTCATCCTTTAAACATGCGGAATCATGAACTTTATAGGCAGTTTCCTGGAAACACTTTTTAAAACTCATTTTTCAGCGGCATTCATCATTTCAAAAAGAAAATCAGTGTGTGGCCCTCCTCTGTCCCTTTTACTTGAGAACTGCTTGTCTCTAGCACGGTGGTCTCTAAATGGTGTGACCTTGAGCCCATACGAGTGAAAAAGTCAGCAGGCATTGACAATATGTGCATATTTATTTTATAAATTATAAGCATGTACTGCACTAATATGTACATTATAAAATACGCAATAAAATGGGAATTTAAAAGGATAAGGAATATATGGGGCATACGGTTTTCTCACAAAACCACGAGGACTTCACTGGGGGTCCAGGTTAAGGATCCACTTTGCAACGCAGAAGCACCGGTTCAACTTCCAGTCTGGGAGGATCCCACAGGCCACAGGGCAACTAAGCCCATGCATACGAACGCCTGAGCCCACGCGCTGCAACTGCTGAAGGCTGTGTGCCTAGCGCCCGTGCTCCACAGCAAGAGAAGACACCGCAGGGAAGACCAAGCACCGAAACGAGAGAGGAGCCCACGCACAGCGACGGAGACTCAGAGCAGCCAACATAAACAAAACAACCTCTTTTATAGAAACAAGAGGAAAATGAGAAATGGCTTCAAGTCTAACATGTCTTTTGAGTTCATCGTCATAGGTGAACAGAGGACCTCTGTTCTCTGGTGTGAGAGAATTTCTTAATCCTATCACATAGTAAAATGATATAAATAATACATCATGGGTCAAAGGTCCAGGCTTTTTGACTTTCACCTCTCTCCTGTGGCAGCTTTCCAGTGACCGTGGTATTGTCTCTGAAAGCCAGCTGCATATCTGTTCCCTTCCAAAGTTTCATTCCATCACTGCTTGTAGAGCAAGTTTTTTTTTTCTCCCTCATACAACACTGCTCTCATTTTTAACAGCCTTTTACTATAATGTTTCTTCTCATGTACCTCTTTCCTTTGAAAGTGAAAGTGTTAGTCGCTCAGTCATGTCTGATTCTGTGCAACCCCATGGACTGTAACCCTCCAAGTTCCTCTGTCCATGGAATTCTCTAGGCAAGAACACTGGAGTTGGTAGCCATTCCCTTCTCCAGGCGATCTTCCCAACCCAGGGATCGAACCTGGGTGTCCTGCACTGCAGGTGGATTCTTTACATCTAAGCCACCATGGAAGCCCAAATCTTTCCTTTGGTGGCTCACACACACAAAAAAGTTCTTCTGTGGATAATTTCACATTGCAGCCAAATCTAGGAAATACCCTAAGCTGAATCAGCTTAGAAACATCTATCCTTCCATTGCATTGTTTAACAAACCTCCCATCAAGCTTCTTGATCTATTTAGCAATGTTTTCTAGACGTCTTCCAAATCTATTTGCTAATAAGAGACACATTCTAACCATCTCATCTTCTGGGCATGGTTTTGGTCATTTCTACCTCACCAGGGAGAATATAATTTCCCCGACTGTCCAAATTTTCATCTTTAGCTCTAATTGGGCTATCACATAACTTTATGTATTTTTTAAATTTTTATCAGAATATAGTTGCTTTTCAATGTTCCATTAGTTTCTGCTGTGTAGCAAAGTGAATCAGCCATACGTACAAATACATCCCCTCTGTTTTTGGATTTCCGTCCCATCTAGGTCGCCACAGGGCATTGCGTAGAGTTCCCTGTGCTCTATCTCATTAGTCATCTACTTTATACACAGTGTGTGTGCTCAGTCGCTCAGCCGCGTATGACTCTGTGACTCCAGCGACTGCAGCCCTCCAGCTCCTCTGTCCACGGGATTCTCCAGACAAGAATACTGGAGTGGGTTGCGCTTTCCTTCTTCCAGGGGATCTTCCCGACACAGGGATCAAACCCAGGTCTCCTGCACTGAAGGCAGATTCTTTATCATCTGAGCCACCAGGGAAGTCAGTCCCAATCTCCCGTATCACATGACTTTAAGTAGCACTGAAAAACTCCAGAATTTCGTCTTCATGTTCTGGATTCTGAATGCCTTCCTAACAGTGATGATCTCACACAATCAGATCTCAAGGCACACATACACAGGGTGAAGACCATGCTTCAGGAGAGTGGGTGTGAAATCAGACTTCAGATGGGCTTCCCAATGATTGCAAATTTCTCTGCCTGACTTCTTGTTAGATTTGGTCAGCCCTCACCATTCTGAGTAGGAGAAACAGCAGCAAAGATATGCAGAATCCCCACTGCCTCTGGTCTAGCTTTCTTTGCAGAATTCTTTTTCAGTCATTGTTCCTTTGGAAAGAGTTGATTTATGAAGGGCTTCCCAGGTGGTAAAGAAGCTGCCTGCCAATGCAGGAGACCTAAGAGACCTGGGTTCAATCCCTGAGTCGGGAAGATTCCCTTGAGTAGGAAACGGCAACGCACTCCAGCATTCTTGCCTGGAAATTTCCATGCACAGGGGAACCTGGCAGGCTATACAGTCCATGGGATGCAAAGAACCCGACACGACTGAAGCAACTTAGCATGCACAGCACAATTTAATCAAAACCCTCGCAGCTCAGTCCGTAAAGAGTCTGCCTGCCATGCAGGAGACCCGGGTTCGATTCCTGGGTTGGAAAGATCCCCTGGAGCAGGAAATGGCATTCCAGTATGTTTGCCTGGAGAATCCCAGGCACAGAGGGAGCCTGGCGGGCTACAGTCCATGTGGTCGCAGGAGCCGGGCACAACTGAGCAACTAAGCACACACACAGAGACATGGAAGCGTGTAGACTCCCTCACCTGGGCACTTGTGAACTGCGCGTGGCAGAAGGACACAGCTGACCTAAGCGTGAGGGTGCCATGCACGGTTCAGCCCAGACTCCCCACTGCACCTCCCTCACCTGGGACACAGGGCACCTGGTGCCCAGACTGAAACGCAAAGAGGCCAAGGTCACTGTCACTCTTGCTTCCTAGAGAAGCCAATGTCAAGAGTGGCCTTTCATCTACCCTGCTTTAGAGGTGAGTGTTTGAGGGGCTCTGCTCCCCAGTTTTCATGACCACGCAAGCCCCGGTGACCCTAAGTGGGGGCCCCAAGGAACAAGGCAACAGGAAGCTGAAGGGAAAAGAAGCTTGGGTCTCTCGCAAGTCGGCCCAGAGCTTGGCTCTGTGGGAGAATATTTTAAAAACACCTCAGATAAAAAGCGCTCCCCGAGAAGCAGGTTTTGCTCCTCTTTTATCCCACGTTCAGGAAACTCAACCTCACATGAGTTTCAATTAGCAGCTCAGATCAAGTGTCGGCCACTGGGAAACACTTGGGGCATCAGAGCTCTCTTTTTTTCCATAGAGAGCCGAGAAAGCCAGCGCGGGGCCCCACTCACCCCTGACAAGTAACGCTCGAGCTTCTTGTTTAAGAGGAAGTAGATGGCGAGGATGTGGCAGGCGCGGTTGGAGAGCACGGTGTTGATCACATCGCTGTTCTTGTAGCCCAGCTTTTCGGTCATGTGCAGCACCACGCTGGGGCTCAGGTCTTCCAGGGAGATCCTGCTCAACAGACGGACAGACAACCAGTCACCCCGAGGCTCCGGGACCCCCTTAGTGATGCTCACAAGCACGGCAGCACAGAAGCCCCCTCCCACCCACAGACACACAAGGGCTCCCTAGTGGACAGCCAGTCCCCTCATTCATCCATTGACTTCTTATTATGAACCGTTAACATACACAAAACACGACAGGGAGTAGCCTAATTACCCTAGGTGTGTGTGCTGAGTTGCTTCAATTGTGGCTGACTATGTGAACCCAGGCACTGTAGCCCGCCAGGCTCCTCTGTCCATGGGACTCTCCAAGGCAAAAATACTGGAGTGGGTTGTCATGATCTCCTCCAGGGGATCTTCCCAACCCAGGGATTGAATACTTGCATCTCCTGCATTGGCAGGCGATTCTTTACCATGAGTGCCATCTGGGTATATTAGTGCCATCTGGGTGTGCCCAATACCTGGTTGAACTAATTGTTAGCAGTTTGTCTTTCTTTCTTTCTCCCTTTCTTTTTTCTTTTTCTTTCTCCTGTCCTTCCTTCCTTCCTTCTTCTCTTAGCTTCCCTCTTTCTTTCTTTACTAAAGTATTTCAAATCACAAACAATTTTTTTCCTAAACACCAGAATGCATCTTTAAAAACCAATGACATCTCCTACAGGATCATAACACCTTCAAAACATCCCCCAAATTTTAGAAATCTCTGAATATTCTCTGATACCTAGACTATATTCCAATTTCCCTATTCATCCCAAATTTCTTTACAATCTGACATTTTTTTCCCTTAAAATCTCTTTATTGAACATGGGTAGAACCCAGGTAGCTTGGGTGGATGTTGGGTTGGGAAAGAAGGGTATTCAGGAGCCAGCCCAGACCATGTTTAAAGGAAGAGTGTGAGCTCACAACTTCACAAAGAGGGGATTTGGGATGCAGCTGTGAAGCTGGATGCTCTCAGAGGACAGGTTAAAGCTTACACAAGAGTGGTATGAAGATAAACTCCCTTGGGATAAAATGCCCCCAAAATGAATGCCAGGTTTGTATTTATCTACTTATTCACTCATTCAAGTCCCTGCTTCATGGAGTTTACATGGCAATGGGGAAGAGAGAAAATAAATCCATTTATTCTTCACAACAGTCTTACAAAGGGTACCAGAGCTTGCCTGGTGGCCCAATGGTAAAGAAACCACCTGCCAGTGCAGGAGATGTGGGTTCAGTCCTTGGGTTGGGGAGATCTCCCAGAGAAGGAAATGACAACCCACTCCAGTATCCTTGCCTGGAAAATCCCATGGACAGAGGAGCCTGGCAGGCTACAACATTCATGGGGTGACAAAAGAGTTGGTCATGACTTAGCAACTAAACAACAACAAACCATTACTATCCCCATTTAACAGATGAAGAAACTGAGGCCCACAGCAGGAAAGTAACTTGCCCAGGGACATACTGGCAAGAAGCAGCAGCTATGTAGAACACGAAAGCAGGAGACGGGCATAGGGAATACATGTGTTGGTCCTGGAGGTGGGTCATCAGATAGAACTCCCTACATTCCTGAAGAGGCAAGGACCATACTCTGTGAGCAGAAAGCAAGCACATTTGGCTAGAAAGCTCTGCAGCCCCGCCAAAGAGTCTGAAGACATTTTTGGTGGAACTTCAGAACAATAACGCTAGGAAAACCACAGGGTACAACCCCATAGTGGTGCAGAAGAGACCGACTTGCCACGCTCACAGGGGCAGCAAGGGCTGACCTGGGTCTAATGGCCATTTTAACTAGGTCAGCCCTCCCTCTCCGAGGTCTGGCTAAGTGCCACCCAAAGAAAAGGTGCATGGGAACCACGAAATCTGCCTTCCTCAATCCTGTTGGCTACAAAAATCACAAATTTTAGAAAGTTTGGAGTAGGCTTGCTATGATTAATGGTTAAAAAATAATAACACCTGTTTTAAAAGGATACGATTACTTGAAGGTTGCCAAAGCACTTAACACAGAAAACACAACTGTTGGAAACTACCTGGTAACGTCCATGTGCCTCTGGCCCTGCCCTTGATCAATGAAACCACGCCCACTTGACCCCACTCCTGGCCAATGAGATCACGGTCCTTTTATGTTGGCCAATCAGACCACAGCCTCATGGCCACTCCCTCAGCCAATCAGATCACGATTTTTGTGACTCCACCCCAGCCAATCATCCCATGGCTGCCCTTTGGATGGCTCCACCCCGTACCAGGAGCAGGCCCTGGAAGGGAGTGTGCTCTGGGTGTGAGATGCCACCGGGGTGGGGCTGGGGGCAGAGGAGAGAGAAGAAAAGTGAGCAGTCTCTGCCCTTCATACCCACTGTCTTCAAAAACAGGAGAGCTCTGCCAAACGGAGACTGTGGACTGGCTCTCGACTAACGGCAATATTTTGAACGTTTTCAATGAGCAGTGTATATATTGAGTGTCTGAAGACTCCCATGGAAGGAGGAGCCTGGCAGGCTATCGTCCATGGGGTCACAAAGAGTCAGACGCCACTTAGCAACTAAACTACCACCAACCATGCTGAGTGCTGTCTTGTATGTGTTGTTGAATTTGTATTACCTCTCCAAGTTTCAATGATATAAACAATATTTTAAAAGTGTTCTAGAATATGAGGTATAATTTTGAGTCAATATGCATTAAATTAATTTCATTCCAGTTTGGTCTAGTTCTGTCCTTTGTTACCAGTGACCTGCTTTCCCTCTCACCCACCTCCAGAGCTAACCTGCGGTGTGGGACACCGTCCCAGGCAGGGTGAGGGGGGAGGCAGCCAAGGTCTGCTCTAGAGAAAAATGTCTGCTGCCAGAACAGTGAGGTGAGCCTGGCACACAGCAGACATCTGTAAATGACTGGCATGAACTTATTATAAACTTATTATAAAAAGTTTCCTTTTAAAGATATTTTCTTCTTGCCTCTTGCAGGTCAACTCAGAGGCTTGAATGAATTAACAGAAGGCTTTACAGAACAGTGATAGAAAACATGAGACCTTTATTTTCTCTCTGTCCCAACAGTAAAATGCTGACAACATCTAAAATAATTAAATCTGGGACTACATATGTTGAGAAACTATCAAATAGACTTCAAAAAGAAAATATTCCTTTCTCCAGTCGCATGTTCTTATTCTGCTTATCTGTGTCCTGGTAAAATCAGAAAAATAATTATCAAGGGCACTTGTTTTTTTTCTTTTGGCATTCTTTTTCAAAATAAAGACTAAGGAACACGTGTCTTTCCTAATAGTTTAGATTTCTGGTTTCATTACTGTAAAAATTGGACATTGGTTTCCCTCGAAAAATTGGACATTTATTTGCCTCATTAAATGAGTAATGAGCCCTACCTAAAGAGAAGGCATTGAGCTGCTGCTTTCCTTCATATGCAAGCTCTCAATCATTTTTACAGTCTCTGCAACTAGATCTTGAACAGCCTTCATGCTTCTGACCAAGTCCAAATGCAGAAATGACCAAACTGGCAGAGCCAGTACAGGTAACTAGAATTTAAGATTTAATCTACAAAAGGCTGTTTATAACCCGCGGAGAAGCAACAAAATGAGCCGGGCATGAATCTCTGTGAATGAAGATGCAACCAGCAAGGAGGGAGGGCTGAATTTCTAGTAGCTGCTTCACGCCCTTCAGCACCTGCTGCACTGAGGGGTTGGTTCTGCTCATTTAGATGGTGATTACATTAGGTTAATGACTCATCTGGCTGCCACCGGTGCCTCCTCCCTTACGGAGAGCATAGCTGTGTACTGCCAGGCAGCGTGAGCCTGGTGATGAGGCTTGGCCGCTTGGCTTTGCTTTCCATCACACGTCGGGCTAATATTTCTGGTGTCTATTTCAGGCTAATAGCCCATGTTGAGCCAGCACTGGAAACCAGCAGTCTATTTCCAGGTTCCCTTGGTAACCCAAGTCACCTAGACTCTGTTTAAATTACCTCTCATGAGTCAAAGGCTAGAATTCTGGATGGCAGCCCTCTGGCCAAGGCGAGTGTAAGTGGGGCCCAGGAGCCAGGATGCAGGTCCCAGTACCATCCACCCACCCCCTCTGAAGTTCCTCAGAACCTCCTCCCCAAGACGGAGCTCTGCCTGCCCATCTTATTTGGAGAAGTTGGTGCTGCAGCTTTCATAAGGCTCGGGCATGTCTCCAGACCCTCCTGGGCGTTTTGAAAACACAGTGACGGAGGTCGCTCCCTTCCCTGCCCCATCACTGCTCTACGTGTCCCCCTTCTTCAGTGGTTCCCGCATCGTCGCCTGGACTTCAGATCTAGAGTGTGCAGGCCCCCTCTAGGTCTGAGGGAAGAAGGACTCTGGGGGGGGCTCAGTCCTGGAAGGTATTTGACCCCTGGGGTCTTCACGTTTGCTCTAAAGTCACCAAGGGGTGGGGGGCTTCCCTGGTGGTCCAGTGGTTGGGGTTAGGGTTGGCAGGGGGTGCAGTTTCCATCCCCGGTCAAGGAGCTGGGATCCCACATGCCTCAGCCAAAAAAAAAAACCCCAAAACACAGAACAGAAGCAGTATTGTAACAAATTCATTACAGACTTTTAAAAATAATGGTCCACATTAAAAAAAAAAAAATCTTAAAAAATTTTTTTACAAAATAAAGTCACCAAGGGGAGGGTCCTTATTCCCCTAACTCAGATAGTGAGCAGGATGTCACACGAGTAGGAAAAAGTACAAGGAAGTATTTTCCTGTGTGACCCTTCGCCACCCCATGTCGCCCTCCAGGCTCCTCCAGGCAGGAATTCTGGAGTGGGTAGTCATTCCCTTCTCCCGGGGATCTTCCCAACCCAGGGATCAAATCTGGGTCTCTGGAACTGCAGATGGACTCTTGACTGTCTGGGCCACCAGGGAAGGCCTTGTTTACAAGTCTGCAGTCGAGGCCCCACGCGGGGACACGTGGGCCATCACAAGGCCTCTCTCAGTGTTTCCACACTGTGGGTTCCTGCCTGGAAGCTTCCTCACGGACACCTCCTCGAGCAAACAGCACAGGGAAGCACGGTCTGAAGCAAAGGACTCCTGCTCCCACCTTTCTTCCTTCCCCCAACATTTCAGAGCAGGGACTTGGGGCTGAAACAAACATCAGAGCAAAGAGGTGGCGGAAGAGGAGCCTGTGGGTCGTTTGGAAGGGACAGGGGCAATTCCACTGCATTCAGCCGATGCTGGCGGGACAGCAGTTGAGTGGAACACACACACACACAATCAAACAGATACACTCACAGACACGCATACTCACATACCCTCACACACTCAACACAGATTCACATACTGAAACACATACACTCACACACACAACCAGGCATACTCACATACACACACACACTCAGTTCCACTTACAGACACTCCAGCAGACACACATACACACTCACATATATTCACACAGATTCACACACATAGTTACATATGCAAACACATACACTCACATACAGACACACATAAGCATACTCTCACATACACACACACACACACTCACTTGCTCACTCAAGCCATAGCTCATCTAAACAGTCCCTCTGTGTGAACTAGAAAGAGGCGCCGCTCAAGAAAGACACAGGCCCTCAGCAGCAGGTTTGAGGAGGGGAGAGCAGCCTGGACTTCAGCCCCCCACGTACCTTCTGGCAGGTGCCCCCCAAGGGTGCACTCTGCACAACCACGTGGGGCGGCCCCGCCTACACGTCTCCTGGTGCACGGAGGGGAGCCCCACGTGCAGACCTGTCGGTGCAGAAAGGGGCAGGGCAGCCAGGAGAAGATGCGGCCTTCCCCTGAATCACAGAGAACACCCTGTCCAGAACTATTCAGGGCTTGTAAGACAGGCCCCAGCTCGCCTGAGGAGGGTCCCTCTGCATGCACTCAGTACCTGTTGGGATAGGTGATGTTACACGGCACTTTGCCCACGTAATTCTCATTCAGCCAGCGATTTGCCAGTGCCTGCTGAATGTTGGGCCTCTTCACGGGATCTGGTTCCAGGAGAGAACGCAGGAAGTTCACGGCTCCTGTGAAGACATTGGGCAAACGTCACACGTGTTACAGGCTGAAGGCAGACCAAGGCAGGGGACCCACCACACCTCCCAGGCCACTGCCCATCTATTTTCTGGATCTCTGGGGGTCACCCGTCCAGAGTATCAGGTATCTGTCCAAAGAGGTATCTGAACACAGTAAAGCAGGAACCGGGGTGGGTTTCCCCGCAAACCATACTTCCCAAACCCCTTGTGGTTTCTCTTGTGGTTCACCACTAAAGGAGAGCCAAAGAGGAATGGAAGAATGTAAAAAGAAAACGCTGGATCTCAAGGTAGGTTTTAAGGAATATATATATAGGCTTTTCAGGTGGCGCTAGTGGTAAAGAACCCACCTGCCAATGCAGGAGATGTGAGAGATGCAGGTTTGATCCCTGGGTCGGGATGATCCCCTGGAGGAGGGCATGGCAGCCCATTCCAGTACTCCTGCCTGGAGAATTCCATGGACTGAGGAGCCTGGTGGGCTACAGTCCGTGTGGTCACAAAGAGTTTGACATGACTTAGCATCTAAACCACCACATATATATATATTTATATGGAACTCCCTGGCAGTCCAGTGACTAGAATCTGTGCTCCCAACGCAGAGGGCCTGGGTTCAGTCCCTGGTCAGGGAACTAGATCTCACATGCCACAACGAAAAGATCATGCATGCCACAACCAAGACTTGGATTCCTTTTCAGATTTATTTCCCTTATAGATGATTGTAAAATCCTGAGTAGAGTTCCCTGTGCTATACATGCATCCTTTAAGATTATAACAATGGAGACAAGTACACAACACTGAAGAAAATGTTTATAACACACGTGAAGGTCACAGGCTCCAAAATGGTTGAGCATGAGAATATGCAGGTCTTCATATGGACAAAGACTGCCAGGGATTCCCTGAAATTGAAGATGTTCTGTCTTGCTTGAGTTTGGGGACCAGGATGTTTTCTTATTTATACTCATTTTATAAAGCACTGTGATAGTATCCTTGCAATAGAAAAAAATATTCTTTTATGTAACTTTGTACATGATATCCCATTTCCAATATGCCAAATAAAACTTTGCAGACACTAATCTTAATTTGCTTAGTCAAAGAAAAAAAGACTGTGAGTATAGTAAGTTGAAACCAGGAGACTCTTCAGTTAATGATGTTTCTGAGACATCTCTGTTGTTGCTGTTCACACAGTCATGTCCAATTCTTTGAGACCCCATGGACTGCAGCATGCCAGGCTTCCCTGTCCTTCACCATCTCCCAGAGTTTGCTCAAACTCATGTCCATTGAGTCNCCCATCTATTTCCCATGAGGTAATTGGACCAGATGCCATGATCTTAGTTTTCTGAAAGTTAAGCTTTAAGTGAACTTTTTCACTTTCCTCTTTCACTTTCATCAAGAGGCTTTTTAGTTACTCTTCACTTTCTGCCATAAGGGTGGTGTCATCTGCATATCTGGGGTTATTGATATTTCTCCCGGCAAGCTTGATTCTAGATTGTTCTTCGTCCAGCCCAGCATTTCTCATGATGTACTCTGCATAGAAGTTAAATAAGCAGGGTGACGATATACAGCCTTGACGTACTCCTTTTCCTATTTGGAACCAGTCCGTTGTTCCATGTCCAGTTCTAACTGTTGCTTCTTGACCTGCATACAGTTTCTCAGGAGACAGGTAAGGTGATCTGGTATCCCCATTTCATGAAGAATTTTCCACAAGTACTTCTCCGCTATCTTCCTGATCAATACTGTCATCGACAGGAGAATGTTGGATCCCATGAAAAAAAGATATCCCACATCCAAGGGCAAAAGAGAAGCTCCAACAAGACAGTAGGAGGGTGAAACAGTGTTTAGAATTAAACCCCATACCCACCAGAGATGTTCAGAGGGCTCAAACAAAACCTCGTGCGCACCAGGACCCAGAGACCCCACAGAGACTGAGCCAGCCCTGCCCTGGAGTGTCTGGTCAGCAGTGGCCTGCCACGGGGACAGGGGCTCTGCCTGCAGCAGGCCTTGGAGGCGCAGTATGTGGCATAAGTCCTCTTGGAGAAGGTCATCATTAACCCCACGAGAGAGCCCCCAAGCAGACAACCCACAAACTGGAGAACAGTTACAAGAAAGAAGTTCTCTCACTGCTGCAAGAGTTCCAGGGCCCACAACAGATTTCCCAACCTGGGGATCTGGCAAAGGGACTGAGAACCCCCAGGGAATTTGACTTGAAGGCCAGTGGGATTTGATTACAGAACCTCCACAGGACTGGGGAAACAGACTCTTAGAGGGCACCAAAAAAAACCCCTTGTGCACACCAGGACCCAGGAGAAAGGAATGGTGACCCCACAAGAGACTGAGCCAGATTCACCTGTGAGTGTCCAGGAGTCTCCGTCGGAGGCGTGGGTCGACAGTGGCCTGCTGCGAGTCAGGGGCACTGAATACAACAGTTCTAGGAGCCATGGTGTGCTGGCCTAAGTCCTTTTGAAGGAGGTTGCCATTACTACCACTACCTCTACTGTAGTTTGGCCTCAGGACAAACTACAGGGAGAGAATACAGCCCCACCCATCAGCAGAAAACTGGACATCTCTGTTGCTTACCCTCAAAGGACCTAAACAGCACCCCAGGCTTTTTCAGAGTATGACTACCCAGAAGAGCTAAGAACAGACTGGATGTGCGTCTTTGTTCTATTTTCAGAACCAAGCACTCTGTGCCGTCACAAATTGCTGATGAGCACAATAATTTTAGTTCAGATCTCTACCAGGGAATTTTCTTTCTTTGGATGTCACAAATATTGCATTAGTATCCAAAAAGGACTTTGAAAACATCCTTGGAGCTCTTTGAAGTCTGTGTGAGGGTCTTGAATATCCCTATGACTCACGAGCAAAAGGCATAAAAATATTCTCCACCGTTCTGGAAAGCTGTGGGTTGCATGGCCACACGCCCCACCCAGGACCTCTAAGCTAGCGCTTAGGGTCTCCATTAGGAGCCAGGCATAGGGATGACCCACCCAGGGTGTGGTCCCTCTCTGCGCCCCGTGTCACAGGAGGCACACACTCCTCCAGTGCAAAACCTGTTTCCTCCAAGCATCAGCTTTCTGGAGACTGGGCTGGCCTGTGTGAGCTCCATGACCCCGTGCCTTGGGAAAGAGCGCCAGGAGGCAGACGCGGCCATCAAATTCTGTTCTATTGCAGCCCGTGGGATGCTGAGAGAGATCTCACCCCTACCAGAGGCTCCTTCCCCATCAGCTCCCAGGAGAAAGCAGCAACAATTATTTGATGATTGAGACTTCTCGGAAACCCTTTTTACCCTATCTATATATATTATCTTTTAGAGTCTCATCATTATAGTTTATTACAAGATAATGACTATAGTTCCCTCTGCTATACAGTAGGATCTTGTTTATTTTATATAGTCGTGTGTATCTGTTAATCCCAAACTCCTAATTATCCCTCCCTCTTGCCCTTTGGTAGCTATAAGTTTGTTTTCCATGTCTGCGAATCTGTTTCTGTTTTATAAATAAATTCATTTAAATCATTTTTTTTAGATTTCACATATAAGTGATATCATATGTGTCTCTATCATATCATATCATATTTGTCTCTAGTTGTCTGACTTTGTATGATCATCTCTAGGTCTACCCAAGTTGGTGCAATGGGATTATTTCCTTCCTTTTTATGGCTGAGTAGTGTTCTGGGATGTGTGTGTGTGTGTACACCACAATGTTCATCTGTCAGTGAACATTTAGGTTGCTTCCACGTCTTGGTTATTATAAATAGTGCTGCTATGAACACTGGGGTATATGTATCTTTTCAAATTGGAATATTCTTCAGATACATGCCCAGGAGTGGGATGGCTGGATCATATGGTAACTCTGGCTTCCCCAGTGACTCAGGGGTAAAGAAACCACCTTTGATGCAGGCAGTCCAGGAGATGCAGGTCTTCCTGGGCCGGGAAGATCTCCTGAAGGAGAGCATGGCAACCCACTCCAGTATTCTTGCCTGGAGAATCTCATGGACAGGGCAGCCTGGTGGGCTGCAGTCCAGAGGATCACAAAGAGTTGAACACGACTGAAGTGACAGCATGCACGCACGCATGGTAATAACTCTATTTTTAGTTTTTAGGGAACCTCTGTACTGTCCTCCATAGTGGCTGCACCAATGGACATGGTTACCAACAGTGTAGGATGGTTCCTTTTTTTTTCTACACCCCCTCCAGCATTTATTATTTGTAGACTCTTTGATGATGGCCATTCTGACCAGTGTGAAGGGATACCTCTTTGTTGTTTTGATTTGCACTTCTCTAATAATGAGTGATGTTGAGCATCTTTTCACGTAAAATCAAGTGGCACTGGCACAACCCTCGGAGATGCTAACATCCTGCCTTTAGCATCACCTCAGTGACTTCATGGTGCAAAACCCGCTTGATCTAAAGTGAGTGTCTGGAATGTGTTCAAAATGCCTTCCTTGAGGTGTAGTGATGAAAAGGTGAGCATGGAGGCTGTGAGAGGCATTCACAACTCTGTGACGTACAAGCACCAACAAACACAAGGAGAAGCCAGACTTGGAAAGATCCAACAGCTTAAGCTTTCGAACTGCTTGGTGGCGAAGAGGGACGATTCTTGGAAAGCATGCAGAACAGACTCAAAGGGCAATAACACGGTGCTCTTTTTCAGTTCAAATTGGCAAAAATTCTTCCAACTTCATCTAAAAAAAAAAGTGTTGTTATACAGTAGACGTGGAGAGATCATTACAAGTATGAGTGATAGAAATTAATAAAGATATGTTAATGAGACACTTAATAAAATGGCACATTTTCAATTTGGATATTTTGGTTTTGATATTACTCAAAACACAAGGACAACAGATAACACTGCCAAATCTGGGGCAGGGTGGGGAGGGGGGCATCTTACACAAAATAAAGTAAGGAAAAACAGAGAAGCAACCCTTCATACATAGCTCAGTTGGTAAAAAATCTGCCTGCAATGCAAGAGACCCTGGTTCGATTCCTGGGTTGGGAA